ATACCATTACTAAAGCATGGAGAGCCAGGTAGTTACAGCTCCTGTTACCCTGCAAATCACTCTTGAGGCTGGATGGCTTTTTCCACATTTTTCCATAAAAATCCAACATGGACTGGCTGTTTGTCAGTGATGGGAGTGCAGATGCTCAGCTTAGATGGCTCGTGGATGGATGACTGCTGGGTGAAGCTGGAGCTGCTGAGTAAGAGGCTGCTGTGTAGCAACAAGCAAACACAAAGCTGCAGGTTTCCTAGGATCAAGCAATTAAAGATGATCTCAAAGGAAGAGCATAAGGCACACATCATTATGCAATAAAACCCAGTGAGAGAAGAGCAGGGGGTCAATAAGACATCCTCTAACGCAGAGCCTTGAAAAAACAGTACATTTACCAACTGTGTCGCTTTACAACAGTGCTTCTCAGACTTGGTCCTTGGGGGCCACTGTCCTGCATGTTGTAGGTGTTTCCCTGCCTCCACACTCCTGATGGGTGATTATCTGACCCTGCAGTCTGAGGTCACTGCTGCAGGGACTGTAATCATTTGATGTTAAGTTAGCAGGACAGTCCCAGAAGCTTTAGAAACACAAGCTTTCATTAGACGTTATGTAGGATTCTAATTAGTAAAAAAAGTGAAGGTGAAGTACAAGAAAATATATTTCTGTTTCTTTTGATTATGTGGGGACAGATATTTTTCTTTTTTTTATTGTTTCCTCATTTTTCTTTGCAAAACATACCTCATCCTCAGGTTCATGAAGGAGCATTAATAAAATCAGCTTTTTTTTTTTTTAGTTTTTCTTTTTATACCATTGCTTTGGACTTTGATTGAGACATTTCTAACAAGATAGTAAACTTCCTACCACTGAAGTTGCTCTAGTTGAACGTTTAAAGATGAAAATCTGGCTAATTCTCACGTTCTTTGCTTTAAAATCTTTTTTTATTCCATAATTTCCCAGTTTTAGGCTTGATCCGTCTTCTCAACTTCACAGTCTAGTATCATTAAAAACTACATAATCTTTATCTGGGTCAATAGAGCTATCCTCTCAGATTCTCTCAGGACTCGATCCCTGGATGGGAGGATTAGATCCAGTAATCCTGGATCTATTTCAGATTTTCTTTGGCCCTCTCTGCTGTCTCTGTACCTGCTCTGTCAGTTTGTCGGGCTGTGAGGAGAGTCAGCCCAAGGAAGATAACATACCTGGGCAGGTTTATAAGGAGTTTGCAGATCAGCAGGCTGGTGTCCTCACAGACATTTTATTTATTTTTAAAAAATGTTAGAACTCTAAATATAGTCATATGTTTATTTTACTGTTTTTAATGTATTTATTACTGTTTTCAAAGCTGCACTTTAAAATAAAAAAAATTGTATAGAGCTGTTCTAAACAAAATTTATTTTTGTTTACACCCAAATAAATCTGTCTAAGTCTCAGTGCCATGTCTTAGCATCTTTCTATTTCTTCTATTATTTGATTACCACAGCACGGTGCTGCCATTAATGCTTCTGCTATTCTAAAAAAAAACCCATCTGATTGTTTAATTTGTTTTAAAGAGTCTACTCTGCACCATGTGATGAGATATTATGCTTTACAGCCTGAGGGGAAAGGCTGGCCAGGCCCGGATGAACAGGATGGGCAGGAAATTCAAGTTCACAAACTGCTACAGGAATTTTAAGCCAGGTGACGTTGATGTAAAGGGTTGGTCCTCAGAAAAGCTGCAGCAGCGAACAGAACAGTCATTATGTTTTGTTTAATTAGGCTACATCCAAACTATGCCTTTCATCTTGGAGGGTTTTTTTAAAGAAAGTCAGTAAGATGTGTGAAGTATTTAAGTTTTGAAATTAGCTTACTCCAGGATAGATGTCAAAAAGTCTTCAAAAAAAGAGAGCAAATGTTCAGATGCACTTCCTGTTTGTGGTTAAATGACTCGCATGACTGAGAATTTACACGACCATATTACAGATTTAGTAAATATGTTATTTGTTTACTATTTTTAGCTCCTTCTAGTCTTAGGTTAAAACAGGTTTTGGAACTTTGTGACCAACATTCCCACCTAACCTGTGTCACTTTTGTTCTGACACTTAAAGGTGTAACCTGTACCTGTCATCACAGAGGTAGGACAACCATAGGGTGAGGATCCAAAAACGCGAAAATATCAGTACAACACTTGGTGCAAATCTATGGAGGACCAATCTGCCATAAAGAAATAAATAGATGACTCATAAATATAAAATTCATGAGCCATTAAATAAAATAAAGATACAAATTATATATATATATATATATATATATATATATATATATATATATATATATATATATATAT